CACCCTCGGTATATGGGGCCGGCACCCTACCCACTGAGCCACAGGTGCCGCCCTGTAGCTGATAATTTGTAACTGATTTAAACTCCCTTCAGTGTGCACTGTCCCATGTGCCTGGATTGTAAGGGCTGGCTCAGAGCCAGGCTGACCAGAGCCCGTCTGCTTACTGCTGGAGTGCCGAGGTGCATGCTGGCCTGCAGCCTGCTGTGTGCATTTGGGGAAGTAGGATGGAACTGTGCTTTAAACTTCGTATTAAGTCCAGTATGCGACTGGTGTGCAGTCTAAGACGATAGTTTGGCAGGCATTCTTTTAAAAAGAGCCAGACAGACTGATTTTGTGTTGTGGCATGCAGATATGACTAGGAAAGGTCCTGGTGGTGATGCCAGATTCAAGGTTAGATGCTGTTACTGGCTAGTTTGAGAGGGGGCTGCTAAGGTGGTGCTGGGGTCGACCTCCTGTGATGATGTCATGTTGTCTGATACTGTCCGCTGCTATGGCAGTGCCTCAGCTTTCGAAACCACAAAATAAACTAGAACCAATATGAAAATAGATCAGTCCAAGGAGTAAACTGAATGTGGGAATAAACGGAAACTTGCTTCTTTGTAAGACTTCAGTTGGTGACTGCCCATGAAGAGGACGGAATGAAGCACTAGAAGCTGCCAGGCACAGCCCTAGAGGCAGAAGGTTTGTCAGTGAGTTTTGTTTTTATTTTTCAGTAGTGAGAATTCTTGTTTTTGTTTCACTCCCTTTATTAGAAAACATATGCAATGAGCCTGGCGCAGTAGCCTGTACCTGTAATCCTCGCACTCTGGAATGCCGAGACAGGAGGGTCACTAGAACTCAGGAGTTTGAGACTAGCGTAGGCAACATCTCTACTAAAATAGAAAAATTCGCTGGGCATGATGGTGTGCACCTGTAGTTCTAACTACTTGGGAGGATCATTTGAACTCAGGAGTTTGAGACCAGCCTGAGCAAAGGTGAAGCCCCGTGTCTACTAAAAAGAGAAAAACTAGCCAGGTGTTATGGCTGGCGCCTATAGACCCAGTTACTTGGGAGACTGAGGCAGGAGGATGTCTCAGGAGTTAGAGCTTGCAGTGAGCTATGGTGACGCCAGGGCACTTCATTCTGAGCAACAGAGTGAGCCCTGTCTCAAAAAAGTTGAAAAGGAAGAAAGGGAGGGGGAAAAAAGGAAGGAAGGAAACAAATATAACCTAGTAAAGGTTTTTTTTTTAATGTGGCGGAGAAGTTAGGGAGAATAAAAAGTAGAATAGGGAAGGAATTCCCTAGATGCAGATTTGCTAATGTGATCGTCATTGCCCCTTCAGAGAGTGCTGATGGCAGAATGAAAAGGTTGGAAGCCGGATTCAGGGAACACTGGAAGCAAAAAGAATTTCCACTTGATGAAAAAGCAAATGTTTGGCTTGGCGCCTGTAGCACAGTGGTTATGGTGCCAGCCACATACACCAAGGCCGGTGGGTTCGAACCTGGCCCAGGCCAGCTAAACAACAATGACAACTGCAACAAAAAATCACTGGGCATTGTGGCAGGCACCTATAGTCCCAGCTACTTGGGAGGCTGAGGCAAGAGAATCGCTTAAGCCCAAGAGTTTGAGGTTGCTGTGAGCTGTAACGCCACAGCACTGTACCAAGGGCAACACAGTGAGACGCTGTGTCAAAAAAAAAAAAAAGAAAGAAAAAGTGAATGTTTGACAGGCTCTCTTTAACTGGATAAGTGGAGGAAGACTCTGGGCTTTTCCTCTAGGAGGTTCAGAAACAAGGTGGGGCAGAGGTTGAGAGCCGAGCTCTGCCTCAGACCAGCTGGGTAGCCTGGAACTGGTCATTCCTCCCTGGACCTCAGATCCCTGTCTGTGTGACAGGGTGTGATAGCACCTGCTCATGGGGACACCGAGCAGTAACTCAGCTCACATGGTGAGGCAGGTGGCATGGTGCTTGGTATGTACAAAGTGTTCCATGAATGTCATTATGAAATGATCAGGAGGGAGCTTAAATTAGACGCAGTTGAGTTGCTCGGGACATTGCCCAGATAGATGGCTGGGCGTCTTGCCCTCGCACAGGGCCCCGTCTGTTTGGGTGGTCAATAAATGTTTCCTTTTGTTGCCTTCTTTTTGATCTTATTTACAGGGTGTGATTTGGAAGCCCTTATTTCAGTTTCCTGTATTTATTTCTAGGCAAAGGAAACCAACAATAAGAAGAAAGAATTTGAAGAAACTGCACGGAAAGTGCGTTGTGCCATTGAGCAGCTGGCTGCCCTGGAGTGAGGTCTCTGGCCACATTCCCCTGGTCCCAGGGTGGTGTCATCACTTCCCAGCTTATTCCCCGGTGTCTCCGGCCTTACCAGGGGACCTCTGAGCAATACCTTCAGGAAAGGAGACATCAGAATTTTGAAATTAGATATTTCAACTATATTTTCTTTTCTTTTCTTTCTTTTTTTTTTTTTTTCTTTGTTTTTTTTTTGAAGTTTTTGGCCAGGGCCAGGTTTGAACCTGCCACCTCCGGTATATAGGGCCGGCACCCTACTCCTTTGAGCCACAGGTGCCGCCCAATTTTCATTTTTTTTTTTATAAAGTGGTACCAGGGGCTGCTTCTGCCTATGCAGCTGGTGCTGTGATTACAGTGACTGACTCTTTTCTTTCTTTGGTAGTTTTGCTTTTTAAATTCCTGGACTAGCCGGTAGGGAAGCAAGCAGAGCTGATAGCTTTGCCCTGTAGCCTCAGGCTCTCGGGCCGTGGGACTTGGCGGTGCTCCTTGGACTCAGCTGTGGCTCCTCACCTGTCACGCCTGTGCTGCCTCACTGGCTTTCCTCCCGCCCCTACACGGTTCTTGTGTGATAAGGGGGGAACTGAGACAACGTCCCCAGCTCCTAGTGCCATTGAGCAGCTGGCTGCCCTGGAGTGAGGTCAACATGGTTTTCCTGTTTTGTTTGAATTATTATTTCACAAAACACAGATTACAGAAAGCACAGCGCCGTCCTGAGGCAGTGGACACCCAAGAGCGAGCGGGAGGTGCCTCTGGAGATGGAGCAAAGTAGCAGGGAGTATCTGGCAGATCTCATTTATGAAATTGCCACATGATGAGACAGGCCTTGTACACCGCAGGGCACGCGCCGGCTGTTCCTTCCCTGCAGAAAAGGCAGTGGCCTGAATCCTTTTTAAATTACTTGGCTCAGCGCTGTGGGGACTGGCTGGGCTGCTGCTGGCCGTGTCTGTCTGTCAGCCTGGGCTGGCTGCGCAGGGTCAGCCTCTGTTTGCTGCTCCAGTGTCACATCTGTCACAGAGCAGGGTGGGCGGGGGGCACATGCCCACAGCGGTCCTGTCATTCTCCTCCAGAGGCCAGCTCCCCAGGGCAGCTGCCTGATGTTAAGGTGATGATTTGATTTCACCCTTTCCTTAAGTAAAGCTGCAGGGTAGATTGTTACAGCCTCACTGCAAACCTCTGGGGTTACCTTAGTTACTCTGAGAAATAAAAAGCATGTCCTTTCAAACCCTGCTGCAGACTTCACTGGGCTTTTAAAATACTGTCAGTTTTTTAGGCAAGCTGAGCCTTCCCTCCTGAGCAGGGGTGGTAAGGACAGGAGTCCTGCGGAGGGATAGGGCTGGCTATGAACTCCTTGGCCAGAGCCACTTGGGACCCAGCCCTTTTGTACTGTCTGGACTCCTGGGTATAAGTGGCTGTGAAAATGTACCACTGACTTATTGATTATATTTTTATCCTGTCTCACAGAGTGAGATGTATTTTTCCCTCTAAACTTGGAGGAGATTGCAGTGGTATTTGGTAGGAGAAAAATGCACTAGACCTGCTGTGCTCATCCAGGCTGCTTGTTTCTGATATTTGTGCCAGTTTGTAAGTGGACACTTCGCTTTCATAACGGGTGCTTACCAACTGGCCTTGTAGAGAAGCTGGAAAAGGGTGTTTTTGTCCTCAGTTCCCTGCACACTGGGCAGTAAAGTAGATTTCGGCTTTTGTCAAGCCGTGTAATGGCTGGGGCTGAGCTGCCCTCTCAGTCCACCCTCCCACATGTCTCCTCTTCTAGAAACTTGCTCTCTAAAGGTCGAGTTTATCATCAGGCTTTAGTAACTGTGAGGGTCAGAAAGCCTGGTCATTGGGGCAGCACCTGTAGCTCAAAGAAGTAGGGCACCCATCCCATATGCCAAAGGTGGCGGGTTCAAACCCAGCCCTGGCCAAAAACTGCAAAAAAAAAAAAAAAAAAAAAAGCCTGGTCACCATCTATTAATAAAGCCTGAGGCCCTTGTCTAGGTGACACCTCAACTCCCAATTATGTGTCCACATCTCAGGGTGGTATCTCAGGAGGGTTGTAAACGTCCTGGGAAGGGTGATTCACAGGCTGCCAAGCAGGGTTTGAATGGCAGATTAGAGTCCCATGGGCCTTCCCCCTTCCACAGGGAGTGGAGGGACAGGGTATTGTGGAAAATGGTGCCAGCGGGGTGACACTAGTATAGGGGAGTGGGGAGCAAACCACAGGCTGTGCTCACTTGAAGAACAGATTGGGCAGCGCCTGTGGCTTAGTCGGTAGGGTGCCGGCCCCTTATACCAAGGGTGGCAGGTTCAAGCCCAGCCCTGGCAACTGCAACAAAAAATAGCCGGGCATTGTGGCAAGCACCTGTATTCCCAGCTACTCGGGAGACTGAGGCAAGAAAATCACCTAAGACCAAGCTGCTGGAGGTTGCTGTGAGCTGTGATGCCACAGCACTCTACTGAGGGCAACAAAGTGAGACTCTTAAAAAAACAAAAAGCAGATAAAATCCTGTTAGACTTAATTGGCAACTATGTTTTTTTGTATTTGTTTTTTTTTTTTTTAGAGACAAGAGTTTCACTTTATCGCCCTCGGTAGAGTGCTGTAGCATCACAGCTCACAGCAACCTGCCACCCTCAGTATATGGGGCTGGCACTCTACCCACTGAGCCACAGGTGCTGCCCTTATCTGCGTTTTTAAGTGCAGAAAAGGAGACCTTAATGAGGTGAAATAATTTATGCAGGATTACAGAACTGTTAAGTTTGAGGCCTGGGTTTTGAACCCAGGCAGTCTGACTGCACACCTGGGCTCTCACTTCTGGACCCTGCCCAGTCTCAGGTGTGGCCAGCTGCCTGATTCTGAGGAGGGAGGCTTGTCTTTAAAGGGTCCCCATTTCATTTTTGGAAAGTCAAATGAACAGTAACTCACTCAAGGTACCCAGAGATCTTCACTATACACTTTAATCTTTGATTTTGAAAGTAAGGGCACAGGGGGTCCTATGTACCCTTCCCTGGCTTCTTCACTGTGATGACAGCATGACATCTGTCTGGACATGCACGGCCTGGCTTGCTCTGCACCAGTCTCACATCACAGAGGCTTTCTTGTCTTGACTTGGGTGAATCCAGCTCTCAACAAGGCAGGGAACCAACCCAGCTGTGGGTTTTCTCCCTGCTGGACTCGGCCTGCAGTATTTTTCCCATTTTCAGCTGGATGGACCAAACTGGTACCTGAAGTGATATTGATCTCTTGTGTTCCCTCAGATATTTGCCTCTGGTCCCACAGTGGCAGGCGCTGCATTTCTGGCAGTGAGTTCACAGGGTTTCTTGTTCTTGTCTTCTGAAGAGTGGGAAGACAGGTCAGCAAATAGCGACTACAGGAGTTGCTGACCAAGACAGAGCCACCAACTACCGTGGGTGGCAACGGGACAGGACCTTCTGAATTTGTGTTTGTCCTAGCCCACGGGGTAGGCCGCTGGGTGTACCAGGAAGGGAGAAGCACTTGGGGCAGAGGGAACAGAAACACGCCTGCGTTCCTGTGAGGTGGGGAGGGGTGTGGCCCCTGAGCAAGACCCCATCAGAGGCTGCTCAGCTCTTTGGGCAGGTGAAGCCAGTGCAGTTGGGTTGAACTCCTCAGGTGTGTGAATTGTCCTCACAGCGAGACATGCCCTCCCTAGCTCTACCTCCCAGTCTGGGTCACATTTCACAAGTGCACGTTCGTGCAGAATGAAAAGGCACATTTCCAACCTACGTCCACAAGCGTTTGAGAACCCTTTAGAATGTCTGGCTTTGAGTAGAGTGGTGATGAGGCTATGGGGTGACGTAGCTCCATAATGCGCCTGAGTGAAGGGGCTGGCCTGCCGGGCAGGGTGGTTTAATGATAATGAGCTTCCTTCTCTGTTGGAGCAAAGTTAGCTGGGCGTAGCTTGGTACCGAGCTGAGCTGCCGGGACAAGAATATAGCTGGTGGTTTCAGCTGCCTCCTCAATCTGCGCTGGAGGCAAATAGATGTGTCACCAGCCTGGAGCAGGGCGCATCTCCCTGTGGCTGCAGCTGGGCCAGGTGTCCCGTTCCCACTGGTGTAAGGTAGTCAAACATGAGTTTAAAAAAAAAATGCATGGGCGCAGCCTTGTGTTTTGTCACTTACAATTGGAATCTTTTCCATCACGAGGCCGTCCCGCCCTGGTGTCAGTGGTGGTGGTCTGACGCAACTTTGGAGAGGCCCTGCTGCCTGAAACAGGCATGCTGTTTTGTCTTAGCTGGTCAAAGGAGGAACAGTTAAAAGCAGCACCTTTCTGGACTGGGCTAGGATAGGATTTGGGAAGTAAACTAGCAGAATTCATCAAAGTAGCTCTCAAGGTCCAGCACCTACTGCTAAAAAACGCACAGTGGGATTTGTGTTGCTCGTGTCACAGAAAGCCAGTGACTGAGGCCGGTGACTGGCCCCAAGGATTGTGAAGGAGGAAACATCTATTTAAGGAGACATACTTGCTGGAGGGGAGGCACAGACTGCCTCAAATAGGGGTTTTTATGGAAAATAAAAATATTCACTCCCCTGAATAATGAGGGGAGTGAACGTCATCACATGTCTGGGGTGTAGTGTGGTGCACACAAGCGCAGTGAGGAATCATGAATGGAAAATGGTGGATAAGTCCCTCCCTCGGTGGAGAGCTTAGTATTAGGATGAGCCAGGTCACTCTTTCAGTCTTGGGTGCAGGCTCTGGGGTCCTTGGGCAGTGCCACAGAAAGTTACAGAGTTCTCCTCAGCAATTCTTACCAGCATAAGAAAACTTCAAAAAAAGATGAAAAGATGTTTTCTTGCTCATAGAGCTGATTACACTATGGCTGAGGGGACAGTCAGTGGCCCTAGCTGCACATTAGGAGGGGCTTAAAACACTGAGCCCAGGATGTAAAGCAGACAGGTGTGTCAGCCGGGCTGTCTCCCACCCTGCAGCACGAATGAAATGTGTCCGCTCTGCCTAGATGTGGCTCTGAAACCTCCCTCTAGTTAGCAGCGGCCTCAAGCAGTGCCTGTCTTAGGCCTTGACAGTTGAATTCTGTCTTGCTTAAGGTTTATGTGGGTGCAAAGGACAGACCCTCGAGTGGAGGGTGGTCACTGGGAAATACATGATACAGGCAGCCAGACCATTCCTGTTGTCCTTTCTCCCTAAACACACTCAGTTCATACCTCACACCAGGGAGGTCTGGACCAGCTGAAGTAGCACTGATCCTTGTTCAATGCTTTATGCTAAATGTTTGGTGCCCAGGAGTTTTCATTATGTTCCCGTCCTTCCCCAGTCATAATCAGAGTTTGGGGCTGGAAGGAGGCCCCAGCAAGTGGGGGTTTGCTGCCCCCCCCTCCCCCCGAGCATAAGGTGACCACATTTTAACATTGGTAAAGCAGGACACCATTGACAGTGGGGGGGGAGGGCGGGGACGGGGGCGGGGCCTGACAACAATATGAACTTTGATAAGCACTTCTCAATAATCACTTCTCAACAATTATTTGTTATTATTACAGTTTAACATTATAAAACTAACAAAAATAATATAAAACTCATATCCTGGCGAAATAGTCACATGGCAGCCGAAAACCGTATATTCCCTTACTGTTCTCTCGCCCGTTTGTGCATTCTTTCCAAAACTCGGGACTTTTTAAAAACACCGCGGGACAAATTGTTAAAAATCAGAATGTCTGGTCACTACGCCGAGCTCCTTCCAGGTCCAACTCCTAAGAGAAAGGAGGTTCCCAGGGCCGGGGCCAGCAGGTACAGGGGCACCTCAACTGATGCAGCGGGGAAAGCCCCACCCGCCCATGGTTTTGGTGCAGGTGGTGGAAAGACGGCCTTTCCACCCCCAGCAGTTTTCTGCCGCTCTAAATTCTCTTTGAAATACTTTTTCAATAACTGCTGGGATTGTTTTTCTTTCTGACTATGTTCCTCAAACTGGAGCCCAGCAGAATAAAAATGGCCAAAACAAAGCCACTCTACTCTAAGACAGCAGTTCTCAACCTGTGGGCCCTGAGCCACAGGAACTATATTAAAGGGTCGTGGCATTAGGAAGGTTGAGAACCACTGCTGTAAGATGAGAACCCTAGGTCAACCCTAAGAGCCAACATCACTGTGGCTGTTTACTTGACCTCTGGCCCCTGTGCAGGCTCTGCCCAGCCCAGCAGTGACTAGCAGGAGGCCCTCCTAGTGTCTGAGATTTAACCCCAGACCACCCACCCAGGCTGCCTGTCCTGTCTCTCCCAACCTGTGGAGGCCTGCACCACTGCCTCCCTCCACACCTATTCTAGAAGGTTCTTTATGCATTTTTGCTCAGGGAGTGACCAGGCAGGCAGAGGGTGGCCTTGCTGGATGTGCTTTTGTAATTGCAAACTCAAGCAGCCTGCTGCAGGCCCTGACCACCCACTTCACATCACTGTGTCCCATCTGGCTGGTCCTCAGGACTAGCCCAGCACCACATGTCCCTCCTACCTTCCTGAGCTCAGATGCTTCCAGGAATAGCAGGGCCTGGTCCTGCTGCATCCTCCCGTCCAGTCTCAGGCCAGATTCGCCATCCTTCTCTCTAGGTGCATAGTCTGGCAGGGCAGGCCCACTCCACCTTGCCACTGGAGAACCAGAGGTTTAGCAAAATTGGGGCCAATAGGGTGGCTCACACCTGTAATCCTAGCACTCTGGGAGCTGAGATAGGAGGATGGATCCCTTCAGTCAGGAGTCTGAGACCAATCTGAGTAAGAGTGAGACACCTAGGGCAGCGCCTGTGGCTCAATGAGTAGGGCGCCGGTCTCATATACCTGTGGTGGTGGGTTCGAACCTGGCCCTGGCCAAACTGCAACAACAACAATAACAACAACAACAATAAAAAGAGTGAGATACCCTGTCTCTATTAAAAATAGGAGAATTAGCCAGGGAGGTTGTGTATAGCCAGCGCCTATAGTCCCAGCTAATCAGGAGGCTGAGGCAAAAGCAGGACCATTTGAACCCAGGAGTTTGAGGTTGCTGTTAGCTACCATGATACCACAGCACTCTAGGCAGGCAACAGAGTGAGATTCTGCCTCAAAAAAAGGAGAAATCTGGGGGCAGTGCCTGTGGCTCAAGGGAGTAGGATGCCGGCCCCATATACAGCAGGTGGCCAGTTCAAATCTGGCCCTGGCCAAACTGCAACAACAACAACAAAAAATAGCCGGGCTTAAGGGTGGCACTGTGGCTCAAGGAATAGGGCACTAGCTAGTTCAAACCCAGCCCTGGCCAAAAACTGGAAAAAAAACCCCCCAAAAAACCAAGGTACACATATTCCTTTGGTTGGTGCCTGTGGCTCAAAGGAGTAGGGCACCGACCCCATGTGCCAGAGGTGGCAGGTTCAAACCCCCCCCAGGCCAAAAAAAAAAAAAAAATAGCTGGGTGTTGTGACAGGGGCCTGTAGTCTCAGCTACTCTGGAAGCTGAGGCAAGAGACTTGCTTAAGCCTGAGAGCTGGAGGTTGCTGTGAGTTGTGATGCCACCATGCTCTACCAACTCTGTCTCAGAAAAAAGAAAAAGAGGAATCTTCTTGGCTTTGAAACAAAAAGGAAAGAAAGAAATAAAAGTGAGGGAAGAAAGAAGGAAAAATAGAAATATGTCCAGGTTGGGCACTGTAGGAGGCTGAGCTCAGTTCAAGGCTGCAGTGAGCTGTGATGACTGACGCCATCCTGGGTGACAGAGCAAAGAAGACGCATTTCAAAAACACACAAAAAAAAAAGGAGCTAGAAGAAGAAAGGAAGAAAAGAAAACTAAGCCCAGGAAGACCTGCGGCCCGCTGCGGGGGGGTGGGGGGGGGGCGCCGGGACGCCAGGATTTGAACCTGCGTGCAGCACGGCTACCTGCGGTTCCGTGACTTCCAGCTCCCTCCCGAGGGTCGAGCTGCCACTGCATGGAGGTGGGGACGAGAGGTCCACGCCAGGCCAGCCGCGGGCAGAAGCGGTCGCGCCTAGGAGTGCCTCGGCTGCGCCCCGCGCCCACCGTCCGGCCTCATGGCCCGGCTGGGCGCGCTGCTCCTGACCGCCGCCCTGGGCGCGCTGCTCAGCTTCGCGCTGCTGGCCGCCGCGGTCGCCAGTGACTACTGGTACATCCTGGAGGTGGCGGACGCGGGGAACCTCACCCGCGGCCCCGGGCGCGCCGAGCAGCTGTCCTCGCACTCGGGGCTCTGGCGCATCTGCGAAGGTGAGCGACCACCTCGCCCTCCTCTCTCCTCCCTCCCCTAGGGGGTCACCCTACGGTTGCGGAACTGGTCAGGCAGGGGAGCAGCTGCGGAGGAAGGGGTCCTGCCTGGGGCCAGGCCGGGCGCATGGCGCCTTCCTAAGCGGAAACCAGAGACCTCTGCTGTCCCTGGCTTCTCCTGTTCTGGATCCTGCCTTGTGCAAAGTCAGGGCAGGTCCCCGAAACTTGCTGGGGGTGGGGTGGGGGCCACTTGCTGCTGGGTGACCTGAGACTCTGTCCCTCCTTAACCTCCCAGTCAGGAGAAGAGAATGCAGGCAGGGACTGGGTCATTGTGTCAAGGCATGGGCTGGAGGCTGGGGGACAGGGGGAAGGGGAGTGGGGGCAACCCTTTCTCTAGCAGGGGGCTGTGGGAGTGCGTGTAGGGAGGGAGGCCCCGTGTGTAGCTGTGGGGCCTCTGGGATGACCACAAGGCTTCATCACGGTGACTGGGAGTTGGTCACCTCCCCTGTTTGGGTGGGGAGGAGAGGGGTTCAAACCACAGGTCCAGAAGAGAGGAGGGGTTTCCAAATGCCCCCCACTGCCACGCCTCACAGCTTCTCCTCACCTGGTGGGGACCTGCCTGGGGGCCTTCCCCTGTACGAGGCCTGTGCTGGGAGCAGGGGCAGAAAGGATGTGAGAGTGTAAGATGCTCCAGTGCATATGTAAATATGACTGTCAGCCTGTCTGTGTGAATATGAGTGTGTATGCAAATATGAATGTGTGTGGGGCAGCACCTGTGGCTCAGTGGGTAGGGCAGCGGCCCCATATACCGAAGGGTTCAAACCCAGCCCTGGCCAAACTGCAACAAAAAATAGCCGGGTGTTGTGGGGGGGCGCCTGTAATCCCAGCTACTCGGGAGGCTGAGGCAAGAGAATCACCTAAGCCCAAGAGCTGGAGGTTGCTGTGAGCTGTGATGGCA